GATACTGCCATTCTCTTTAGATATGCCTAACTTACTAGGCTCCCTCCAAATTCCAGTAAGGACCATTTAGGACCTAGGAAAAGATCTAAATTGATCAGATCTGCTGCCTCAAGGAATCTCTTGGCACACTACACATTTTTCTTTGATTAGCCTCATTTAGTCAAAATTGAAAATCTCTGTTCATACCTGACTACAGAACCAGACAGTCCACACATCTTGGCAACCAGGTTTTCTGCTTCTTCCTGTAGTTCCTGAGCACTCTGAAGACTGAGATCCTTGCCCATCTCAAAGTCTGACTCTTGCTGCTGGGGACACCGGCAGGACAAGCGATCCGCTATCACATATTGCAGCAAATTCACCAGCCACAGGGTCAGGTTTCTGTGCAGTTCAGTCACCTGCACAAAACATCAAAGCAAATCTGAACCAGTAAGAAATGAACGATCTTATCAAGTAGTCTGAATTCAGTGCATTTCACTTATCCAGTATTCTACCCTAACTCAAGCTGACCTAATAACACAAACATTTACCCATACTTTTTTTTTCTCCCATATTCATCCCTATTACCAACAAATATTTTCCTGCTGTGGATCTATCTTTCTGCAAAGTGTTTGTTCAGCAACGAGCTGAACAAGAGCAACGAGCTCTTTATCAGCTATGTGGCATTCTTGTCCATATTTCAGCAGCAAACCAAAAATCACACATCGTGCTTGTAAAACATTTAGAAGATACACAGTGAGAACCTCACTAACACAAACACACACACACACAAAAAAAAACACATCAAAAACAGAGAGCTAAGAGCCAAAACAGGAAACAGGAAATATCAATATTATTCCAGAGGAAAAGCTTGCTAAAGATTAGCAAAACATAATTCTGTTGGGGCACTATTTTTAGTAGTCTTGATATGTTCCCCTGGCTGGAAGACAAAAGCCACAACTCAAACAAGAAAGAAGGTGTTAAAGGAGAAACAGCATTCCTCTCAGCTGTGGTCTGTCCAGACAAAAATTAGAGGAAAGAGTGAATCTTAAATACAGTGCTTTACTTGCTTCCACTTACTTCTTCATTAAGATGCATGGTGCTCTTCTCAACCTCAATGTTCATGGACAAAATCCATTGTTGAATCCTCTTAAAAAATTCTCCAGGTACCACCCTTAAAAAAAATAATCCAGAGACAAAGTGACATCTAATGCACCACACCCAGGGATTTCATGTCTCAAAGACACTTTTGTTTCCAGCTCAAGGAAAATAATGTTTAGCACACAAGATGCTGGAGACGTGGCACAAGCAGTTTTATTAACAAGGTGGTTGTGGGTGAGCTTGTCATTTGCAAATAATCTCTGACATATGTTATGCATGTGCTCTGCAAATACTTTATTTCCTGATGATATTTGCAAAAGACAATAGAGCACGATGAGAAGTATGCCCCCACAAATCTGCCTGTAAATTAATCACAAATTGTAGTTTTTTCTTCAAATGCCAAGATCTCCAAACAGGTGGCATTGTAGGAAAGACAGTGATGTTCCAGGAGTTACATTGGAGCCACCAACTGTCTCCACAGATATTGCCAAATCAAAGCAAATGGCCAAATCACAGCAAATGAAAGGCAACCACCAATCATTTTAACACTTCAGCTGATCACAGTTATCCCACTGCCAGTTTCTTGTGCCAGAGCCCCCACAAAACAACATTTTTCTTTTCTTATGGATGTAGTTTAATGTATAAGGCAAAATTAACACCTCTGTCCTTACGGGAAATGCAGTTCCATATCATTTTCAGCTTTATGCAACTGGCTAGAGCCTATAATGCTCATTAATGCATCCACTTGGGTCAACCATGAAGGAATCATGTGATAAAATGCCTGCAGTTCAGTTTCATGCGTGCCTGAACCTCGCGTTAGCTTTTGCGCCTTGAATAACCAATCTTCCATGCTTCTCACCAAGACTGTCAAAAATCTAGCTGTGCCTGGAGGGGAAGAAAATACAAACCTTTAATTACATTCTTTCAGCCAACAAAAACAAGGCTCAATTCAAAGTCCTTTGCCAAGAGGGATGAACAGCCTACATGAGATCTGGCTATACTTAGCGCTAAGAACAAACTGTTTAGTAAGCACTGAATTAAAAACAAGTTGAAAGAAAATCTGCTTGATGTGAAGCCGACTTTCCTTCTTGTCTTGGCAGATTTGACTTGTTGCATAAAGAAATGTGATGGCTTAATAGAACTCTTATAAAAAGCTCTGTAGTTCTTTTCAAAAGAGATACAACATACGTAGATATGCAGAAATGTCTGGATAAGACAGTAAATCACATGTTCATTCACTCATCTGGCATATGCTGATGGATATTCTTTGATTGCTGGAAGTACGCTTGAAATTAACAGTGCTTGCTCCTGATGTCCAGCGTTTAGTCTTTAAATCCTGCTAAGGTCCTGGTCTTCATGACATCTTGTTTCAAAGATAACACGTTACACATGTGGAGGTAATTACCATTTTTGAAACATTTTAATGACTCAATTTCCCCACTGTACTGCTGTGGTACAGAACTGGTTAACTTCTACTCTGGATTATTTGTCATGCAATGAAGCAACGTTGGGATGTTCAGACTGGTAAGAAAGAAAAGAAGTTCCCCCAAAAGGTTGGATGGTACCAGAACATACTGTGGAAGCCCCACAACCAGACAAGTTCGCTTTGGGAAGACTACCTTTATCTTACAATCAGGTCTACAGGAAAAAAGAAGAGCTAGTAGGATCTCAATGGAGAGATCACTGTGGTCCCAGCCAGTTCAGAGTCAAAAACTTGATCTTACAAAAAAGGTATGACTTTGAGAAATGATCAAGGAAGATCAAAGGTCTTAAGTGAAAATTTATAAATTTCAATTGTATATGCCATTGTTCTCTTTGCATCTTTAATCCTTGTCAACAAATACTAAACCTTTTGTATTTCTGTCACGTGGTGCTTGAGATCAGGTAACCTGATCTTAGAAGATAATAAATATTTCAGGTAAATGAGTATCATTGCCTAACAGAAAAAAAATTACAATAATTACAACATTTTCAGTATATTCTCTCATCTATTTCTTATAGCCACTTTCTTTTTTACCTTTTTTTTTTTTTTTTTTAACTGTAGCTGCAATGTAAACAGATGGAATACCTTGTCTCTTCTCATAGACAGGAGAAGAGCAGAAATGAGTCCAAGCAATTCAAATACACTGCCTTGTATGGAGGAAGAGAATACCCTTACTGAGATCCAGTTCCCAAAACCTTTGTTAAAATAAGCTAAACCTCCTTTTTCTGGACTTTACTGATGGAAGCAATTTTGTATCAGATGCCAGCACTGTGCCACCTAAACCTTTGTTCAGACCACTAATAAATACAAAGACTTCTGACAACCTACTGTTAACTTTTTGCCATGATATCTGGCCAATTACATCCCTGCTTCTTTTTCCTTCTTTTACTTTTTAAAGAGAACTGCTAGGAGTATTTACTTCTTTCAGCTGTCTTTTAGATTGGACAGACTTACAGTATATTGTCTCTTTTAGCAGAAATATAAAAGGCAGCATAATGTAGGAAAAAGCAAAGGATAACATTCTGAAAGACTGAGACGACAGAATGAGAAGCAGCTTAGAAAACATGAGCAACGGTTCTAGACGCATATTCATTTTAGTCTTCTAAAAGAAAAGGAGATTAAAAAAACACCAGAGATGAAACAATTCTGAAATCAGAAATGAGTCAAGGCCTAGGAGAGTCAAAGGTTGAAAAAGTTGGTTGCAAATTACCCAACAAATGTTTGTTATCTTAAGCAGAACATGATAACTTTATATCAGCAAGAAAAACATATATTTGCATAGTTTATTATCAGTATAAATCAATATCTAAATTTAGATAACTTTGTCTTAATAATAAGGTAATAAAAAAGTATTACCCTCTGAAACAGTATTATCAGGTTAATGAACTCTAAAGTGACATTTTGCTTTAAAACTTAAACATCTATTCTTTTACTGTCCATTTGCTTTCTTTTCCACACATAATTCACCCAATCACAAACTACACATGCTCTGAACTTAACACAACTTATGTCTTATGTCTTAGTTGTACTGCAATTTTCTTTGATTGTATTGCATTGCATTTCAGATTCCAGATATTCCTTGTGCGATCAAGAGTCAAGTTTCTCAGAGTTTATACCTCCCATGTTTTTGGTTACTGAAACATACGTAGGGATCAGACATTACCTTTGGAAAAAATCACTGCAGATTATACTAACTGGTCCCTTATTACCTGCTACTTCCCTGGCATACCCTAAGAAAGAATGAACTACAAAAATGGTTATTTCTTACCATTATTCCCACTTATCCTTATATTATATTGCTGATAGAGTTCACGTGCACTTTGGTTTATTTCTTCCAGGGCAGTGAACTGTGGAGGCAATGCTCCAGTTAAGTCCTGGTGTCGATTCAGCACCGTTTCTCCTAGCTCTGTCCAGTGTTCCTGTATCCTGGCAGCACTCCTGAGACTTTCAGTCTTGGCTAGATATGTCTCCCCTGCATACAGCTGTACGTCTTCCTTCAGCATCTGAAAGAAAAGCAACAGGCTTACTGTGCCCCCAAAAGTTGGACCACCCCTTGGCTGCAATGGAAAGGTGGTAGAAATCAGGTAAGAGAATGATGAGGTATTCATGAGCATCAAGATGTCATAGTAAGTACAATAAGTTGGAAACTTACTTCATGAGGATGACAACTGTGAATGGTTCTACAGATTAATATAATTTATCAGTCACCAGAACTGGCAATCAGTGCTCAAATGTGTGTAAGCCAAATGGCTGAGCTGCAGTATTGGTCAGTTACAACTTTTCATGTGTAGATTCTCGGTTGAAGCTTCAGAACAAAAAATGTCAGTTGATGTGTTTTCATTCACATTTGGGATGGGCATAGATACTGACAGCAAGCGGTCATTTGCTGAGCATATACCACTCAGTAGTATGTCCAACCTCCAGAAATCTTACATTTATTAAGAGCTTTGTATCTTCTAAGATCTCATCCAATAGCTCTTCTTTCATCTGAAAGGAACTAAGCAGAAAAAAAGAAGACATGAGAACTGAGAGAAAAAAATCCCGTAGTAGTTCATGTAAAACCAAGGTCAAGATATACTGTACGCATGCCAAGTTTGTGATACAAATTATAACTTGGGAAAAAAAAAAGCCAAAAACATCAAGCCTTACTTAGCTGGTAAGGCTAAGTCACTCAACATAATGCAAACACAACTGTAGTTATGAAAATCAGTTATTAACATATGTGATAATGAGTGAAGTATGTAAAATGACATCTTTTGTTAGTGTGTACAGTGTGCATTTCTGGATTTTGCACTTGCATTTGTCCTTTATTTAACATATCATGATGGACTAACAAAAAGTCTTCAAAATATACATTAACATACAAGACCACCTTGCATTTGAAACCTCATGTGCCTTACAGTCTCATTTTGTATCTTTACTGCTCTATTGAAGCATTAATGCAAGTGTCATGAGTGTTAAAATGAACCAAACTAAACAGAAGAATTCTGTCATGGCAATCACATCTGCAAAAAGAGAACTGTGGCTCCTAGTAGGAGGGTAAAATCCTTGCTCTACTGGAGTCAGCAGTAACCTCACCACTGAATTCAGCCACAAACATACACCATCACTTTGAAGCTACCACTAAGTACCCAACTATCAAAATAAACATGTCAATCATAAAAACAGAGCAGTGAGGAATATAAAAAATGCAGATTGTAACAAATCTCACAACATCTTAGTCAGGAATTCTGTGCATGCTTTTACTTGCTGCCATGGGGCAAAGGGGAAATGACTATTACTCCCAGTCCCTCCGGGCCACTCACAAGTTACTGTGTTGGTACTGAAGCCATTTGTTGAGGTTTCTGCGCACAATTTGCAGTTTTTCCTTGCTGGACTCCTCCAAATGCTCTATGTCTGCTCCAACATGACCTAATATTGCTTTGAACTGCTCAGTCTCCTCCTGTAGATCAGCAAGGTCTCTCAGATCCTGCAGCCGTTGAACGGTAAAACAAATGTTGTAACTGTTTTGATCCAAGTAGAAGGAATTCTCCCTTCAGTCTAGGTATTTTGAGATATATCTATATATCAGAGATCTGGGAAATTTCTGCAATTCCACAGCACAGCCTCACAACCCCTTTGATGCAGGATTAAGTTGGCTTAAACTTCCCAGGCATTCCAGAAATGAGCACTTAACTGCTGCTTCTATGCTACATAGAGACCATGCAACTATACACCTTCAAAGACAAAATTTCACTAACCTGGATCTGTTTGGCTTTATGGCGATGGAAAAAGGAGAGGGAAGGATAACACAAAAGAAGGAAAAAAAAAAGAGGAAAAAGAAAAGCTTGAGGTAGAGGAAAGAGGATATGGAGTAATGAGAAAGGGAACCGGAAAGACAATGAGCGAGTTCAGGTTTTAACGCTTGTTCAAAACTAGATCAAGATTTAAAGTTCTAGTAACAACAAAAGTACTGAATGCTTTACTGAGTATCAGAGTGCTACATGCACCACACACACAAACACTTTGAACAGGTACCCATGGCAGACAAGTCCTACCTTTGAGGCCAGAAGGACTATGAAATGCTTGAGAACCTTGGTCAGAGCCTTCCCACTTATATGGAGCCTGCGAAACAACGTGAGCTGGTTTCTTTCTATTATCTGAAAGAAACATTATTTTCACTGTTGTCTTTTGAGAGAAGGCATCTGATAGTAATGTGAAGCTCTACCATCAATGAAATAGAGTGCAAGCAGACAAAGCCACTTACCTCAGAAATAAATTTCTTATCCACAAGACAGACCAAGAAGGTAGGTCTGCTAATAAATTTAAACCTTTATCAAGGAAAAGGTCACAAACAAGAAAAACACACAAGCAAGGAAGCAGAGTTATCCAAGAATGCTATTTTGTGAAGCTTAAGGAATCTGGCTACAGAGTTATGAGAGAGTCGACGTTATGGGGAAGAAGGAAACTTTTCAGTCAAACTCATCTCCAACAGGAAATATTCATTTCATAGTTCTTCCTGCACAGAATCTGGAGGCCTGTACTAAAAATGCTGTGTGAATCAGCTGGAACAAACCAAACAAAACATGAAATACAATAGTCCTCAGTAAATGAGGGCAGGAGATGTATTAGCACCCAATTAGATTAAATAGAAACATTCTTTGGGATGAAATTTGCTTTTAGAACAAGTCTGTCTGCTGTGATGGTCTATACCATGCAGCATATCACTGACCTCCCATACTTACCATCAGAGCCAGGTCACGTACAGCTGAGCTCCAAATGTCTCTCTCTTGAGCTACCATCAGAACCTGGTCTTCCAGCCTTCTCCTCTGTAACTCGTATAACTCTCGATACTGTTCCAGAAGGCTAGAAGAAAAAGACAGTGAAGTTTGTCCATGCTTCTTATTCACATTTACTGCGTTCCTCCCAATTCCTAAGACATTTCATCTCCCTCTTTCCTTCCTTGATCATCTTCCACATAAGTGTGTGAATTCACAGTTCCTTTACCCAGAGCTCCTACAACACAATTGTGTTGATATCCTCACGTCGAGTTTCCAGTCAGTATTCTTACAAATCTCTGTTGGATCTAGACTAGCTGTTTTCTTCATGACACAAAATTCCTGTAAGTGAACCCCAAACACTCAACACAAATCTGATACCAACCACCTCAGTACTTCATTTTTTAGGTATCTGAAGATGTCTACAGCCTCATACAAGTTCCAAGCTGCAGGCTCTACTTGACTATGAGCTTACCAGCTGTGACTGTGGGGTGAAGAGGATGGCTGCACCTGAGCAACAAATGCAACTTCTATTATTTAAAACTAGAAGCATTTTAAACAGCTTCTTGTCCCTTTGAGGAGTTCAGGACTTATAGAAAAATGACAGCATTTGTCACAAAGAGCCAAGCTCTCTTCCCCAGGAGGAAATCAGTCCTTACTTCTTCCCAGCCAGGAGAACGATACCAGCATGCTGCAGAGATCTCCCAACCTTAAGTTTGAAAGTAACTTACTTTGCATTTGCCTCTGCCTCTCGCATGGCTGCAGCTAGCTCTTTTTGAGCCTTTTCTGCTTCTTTGGTCACCTTGCAGTCATGTTCTCGTACCTCATACAGTTCACTGAAACAGCAAGGAACAGCCTAAATAAACATAGCCCAGCCCAAAGGTCTCTGCTCTGCCAAACACAAACTGCTCTCTCCATACACAAACAGCTCGCTATAGAGTTGAAAAGCATTTTGAAGACCTCTTATTCCTGTGCACACAGATTGCTCCTGCAATCCCCTTCAATGCAAAGTGCAAAGGAAAGCAGGTGGTTTAACCCTTATTCTGTGCTTCCATGCTGCACACCTAACAGTAAAAACAAACTAATGGTGGGAGGAGGCTAAAGTGTGGTCCCTGTAGCTCTGGCTGAAATTAGAAAAATAATTGCCTGCTCCTATGGAAGGAAGATTTGAAAACTGAACAAAACCAGTATGCTAAGCTTAGTGCATTGAGATAATTTTTTAGGATCAGGAAGGATTCAGACCTGGCCAGCTGCGCAACACACTCCTTAAAATAGAGTAGTTCTTCTGTAATATGTCTGTCAACCAGTCGCTGAGCCATCATTTTTTTGTAGAGTGTCTTCATCTGCTGCGGAATACGCTCCAGGAGATCCACATACCTCTGCCTTCAGTAAAAAGAATAAAAATAGAAATTTTCCTGAAAGCGAAGATCTGAAAACCATTCCTTTCACTGCACAGGACCGTACCTAGAGGGCAACCTTCTGACTGTTTGGACTTGGGATGTGAAAAACTCTGGAACAATGTAATTGCTACAAATACTGATAATCTGTGTGGTGAAAAAGAGCAGAGGAACCCCAGCTGTGAGAGTAGTTCCAGCCATTCCACACCTGAAAATTTCCATTAAATGTCACACCCATAAGGTGTCCGCATTGTCAAGTGTTGTGTCAAGGGTTCAAGCTCCCAGTTACATAACAGTGGTTCATTAGCACTGGTTGTTAACTAGGCAGGGCAATCCTATTTCACTTCTGGCATCAGATCCCATGCCAATGACATTGTGACAGGCTAGCTTTGTTGGGCGGTGACATTAAGAAAGATCTGCAATAGCTAATGCTGCTCCTGAGAGGATGGACTGCCATAAATCAAGAGGGGGATTAAGGGTGCTTGGCAAATGATGACCTGAGTTTAGAAAGCAGCTGTCCTCTCTCCTTGCAGTCTACGCTGACCTGCCGAATCAGCTCATGGAAAACTATGTTGTAAATGTTCTGCTCCGCCTTCATCAGCTCCAGCACGTTGTGCAGCTGGCAAAACAGATGAGACAAACACCAGCCTTGCAGAGACTGGCAAATCTACTTCATCATCAACTGAGACTGGCACAGCACACTAAATTCTTCTGAATCTAATTTCCCTCTTGAAGGGGTAATGGAGAAGAGAAAGAGCCAACTTGCACACATTCACAGGTTTTTTTTCAAATTTGTTTTGCTCTATCCTCCCATTAACATCTGTGGGAGCTTTTCTGCTAACTCCAGCAGGAGTTCATATTGAAGCAGTGCTATACATTTTTCAAAAATCCTACTTTGTCCATTTAAACCTTCCCCATTACTGTGCAAGAATAATAAAAAGTAAGCCCAAGCAAAGTACAGAGATTTTTTGACACGAGTTTTGGCAAATGAAAGCTTCCAAAGATCCATTTTTAAACACAGCAGCTTGTCTGCTAATGAGGAGATGAGATAGCCACTGCTTTATTTCCTCCATAGTAATGCCAGATGCATTCCTTTCTGGCATTTTTGCAGTTGCTTGTTCTTCAAGAATCAGACAAAGACAACCAGAAGCTCAAGAGGGCGATCTCTCACTTATGACAGCACCTACAGGCAGATGGCTTGGGCAAAAAGTAACTGCTTGGACGCATCTTAAGCACAGCTGAGACAAATGCTAGGGAAAATGATAGTATTTTTCTGGGTATGAGTGAGTTATCCACCTGTGAAGGTCCTGTTACTCCAATCAGCTCATCTACTCCAGCTTTTTCCAACATGCTGTCCATTGCCTCCATCAGCTGTATGACCTCTAACCTCCCAGAAGGTTTCCTGACAGACCAGAAAGAGGCACATTATTATTCTATATAGCATACTATGGTATTTTCCCACAAAATGGAATTCAAACTTTTGTGTGTTTTTTTTTTTTCCCCAGTAATAACTTGATTCAGGGTACATACATGGATGGGAACAGACGTAGCCTCTTTTCACTGTCTTCAAGCAGAGTTGTGTATTTACTAAAAAAAATATAAAAACTGAATTATATAACAGCCCTTCCAGTGCTAGCTAAGGAATCCTGCACTTTAATTCAATCTCTATATCCCATGTACAGTAAGATAGGGAAAGAAGTGTGGGGTTGTTCTCAGTGGGAGCACCCAGAGCCTGAAGTCTGACCTCCTGCAGCTGTTCATCCAGCTGACACACCAACAGGAGCTCCTCCTTGCCACCAACCACATAAATCTTGTAGGAACACTGAAGGTACTCAGCAGTGTTTTGGAGTAAAGCTTCATAAATGAAATTCTAAAGTTACAGCCTGAAAAACTGAAGATCCCAAGCAAACAAAAAAACCCACACCAGAATGGTCAGCTCCAAGATGTTAACAGGCCTGAATGAGCTCCAGTGAGAATAAGAACTACCCTGAGTCTGCCCAGTGTTGCTACAGAAAGCAATTCTGGAGGGTAGGTAGAAAAACAAGACTAATCAAAACCACAAAAAAAAAACCAAAAAAAAAACAAGTGGCAACTTCGAAAAATTTCCTCAAGAGATAAAAAGAGACTTCAGCTTCTACATCCATGTTCAAACAGGGAAAGACTTAGTAGTAATAGCCTACAGGAAATCCTCCTTTACCCTTCCTAAAGCAGTAGAGGCAAAGCAAAGGTGGCTCACGTTGCTCTGGTGGGCTGAATGCAGCCTTACCATTAATGTGGGATTTGTAAAGCTACCTTTTTTAAAACAAAACAAAACACTCTCCTCAATTGAAAGAAGTTCATTTTTCCAGCATTTTCAGCCTATTAGCATTTTACCCCTCCATTCTGAAGCTCTACAACTTGACGACAAATCCTGCTCAATCAGAAAGCACTTACTCATCAAAGTACTTCAAGGGCAAAACTCCCTGCTTTCTCACGATGTGAAATTCCTCAGGAACCAAACTATCTGCTAGGGTTGCTTGCTAGGGATAGAAAAGAGAAAGCATTAAACATCAGCATAGAAGATAACATGCATATTCCCAGTTCCTTGCCAGAGATGGCACAGTTTTGGCCACGTGGAGAGCAAAGCTCACAGAGTGACTTTTCATGGTGCTTTTCTGTTTCCCACTCTACGTAATTAGAGCACAACAGAAACAATCCACGTTTGGAAAAAATTAAAATAATTAATGCTGAACTGTGGCAGGGAGCTGGAGGCTGTGAACTGAAGGGAGAACTGATGGCTTTTAGAATCAAGGTAAAACACTACAATCATTTTGGCTCAGAAACCGAACAAAGCCACAACCCATGGCAACACTTATGTTATCCCTTCTCCCACTTATTGATGTACACAGAAAAATAAATGAGGAGCAGCACTCACAGAAGTACTTGAGACTGTACCACTGCTTTGTTCCTGAGGACTCTGAGAAAAAGAGCTTTTGAGGGCCACTGTTTTCTTATCTTCTTGGATCATCACATCACACAAGTAAGAGACATCCCTGAAACAAAGGGAAAGAGCTGTACACTGACCCAGAACACAAACAACCTACCTTTCTCTTCTACTGGCCTCTTGCGGCACAAAAAAGACTGATAAGATAATGTTTGTTTGGCAGATTAATCTCACATTGCCTATTACTGGCCAAGAAACTGCTTTTCATGCCTGTTGTCAATGCTTTGTCAAGTACATAGCTGCAAACTGCAGAGGAGCAAAGCATTTTTCAATTCCTAGTGCTATTTAAGTAACGCTTATTTACAAAGAAGTGTAAAGCTATTCCCTGCTAAGTCCATTAAAGCCAGAAGAGCTTCTTTTCCTAATCCTGGATCAGAGTATGCCAGTGAGCCTGGGATCCATTGGAAGAAAGCTTCCAAGGAGAGATCACATAGCAACTCTTTATTTATTAGCCCTGAAACATCGTTCTCTTGAATTTCACCCAAATAAGCTCAGTTCGGATAGCTGGTCCATTCATCCAGCCTCATTAGGCAGCACAGACACTCACCACTAGAGAAACCAATGGAAAGACCTATCTGCATTTGTAGTGCTAATGTCTTTCCATCGCAGTCAACTCCTTATCCCTTCTTTGCTTACCTTCCAGCGCCTGTCAAGCTGACAGGGTGGTCTGTCAAGTGTCTGAACTTGCTCCGACGATTAGGATAATGCCAAAGCCGATCTGGGGTTTGCAGGCAGCCCTGCAGACAAAGCACACGTGGCTGTCACTTCTTAGCCAGAAATGTGCCAAGGAGTGGGAGAGGTCAAAATGACTGTCTAAACAAGCTCCATGTAATTATTTCAGTCTTAGGGCTAAAGAAAGCAGCATGCACAAAACAGTTGCTACAAGGGGTTCACAGAAACACATGGGTACAAACACGTTTACCATTTTGCAGGCATTAAGACTATGCTTTGGATCCACATCAAATGACATGATCAGAAAAGTAACGTAACGCAAGATCGGTTTGTTGAAGAAGGTTGGCACCCTTCTCTTTCACCAACAGAATGAAAACATGCCCTTAAGAAAGAGTCAATTCTGGACAATAAAAAGCAGAAGATGGAAACGCTTACCCTGAAGCCCATTGTGGTTTTTGTTTTTTGGTAGGACTGTAAGTAGTCTGGGCTGCCAAGAGAACTGCTAGCACAGGTCAGGGCTCGGAAAATCTCTTCGGGAACAAAACTGTACTCTGGGGAGGAAGAAACAGGCCTGACGTGGTCCAGCATCCTCGATGTACCCCTTAACAAAGGGATCTCTGGAAAGCAGTGTGTCAGAACTCATTTATTCTGCTGATAAAACAGAGGGCTGAGAAGAACTGCGAGAAGTTGCTCACTCATTTATCCCAAAGCAGGAACAATTCTCTCAAACACAGGCAGCTAACCCCATTTTTAGCAGCTGCTGAATCTTTGGCGAAGCCTATAACAAGTTACCTTCAAATTGTGGGGACAGTGGTACTAAATGCATAGCTGTGCCACGCTGTCAGGTGTGCAAACACCAAGGGATGGTATAAGCAGCTGAAGTTATTTATGTTAATCCATTACCCTTCTTCAGGATTTCTACCAGTTAACTTTCTACAAAAACATTAACACCCTGAAATACTAGCAATTGCCTAAACAAAGGCAAGGCTTAGAACTCCCCCAGAAAAGCATCCTGTTGTGAAAAGGAACCCAAAGGACACCATCCTCTGCCCCATCTCCAACTCCAGCCCTACCTGAATGGTCCTTGCTGACAGATCCCATGCACAAGGAATTGCTCATTTGTCTTCCAACTGCATTCGGTCCAGGAACTGGCATTCCATTGGTGGGCATGGTGAAGAGATGCTTGGATTTTTTTTTTATGCTTAACCAAGGAAGTTTTCAGTAATGAGCAATCTAGAAACAGAGTCAAACCCACCTTTGTACTTCACAGGGTTAATATTTTTTTGTGTTATTAATTAACAGGGAAAAAAAAAAAGCATCTGACACTAGGTAGCTCAGCTGGGAAGAAGCACCTGATGCTTTAGATCCAGGGAGGAATACCCAACAAGAAGCTCTTAAATGGCTCTACAGAGGGCAAAGCTTGAAGGACTACCCTATTAATTACCTACTTAAACCTATAAAAATGCATTTCATAACTACCATGGCATCAACTTGATTCATAGATGTAGAAAAGTCAAAAGGTGTTTAAGTCAAATACAACTTCCGCAATTTATTAACATTTAGCATCACAAAATGATAGCTCAGTGCACTTAATGAAACCATCAGAAGAGTTCTGTTCTCTAAATGCTACATGCACAAGAGTGCTTGATTTTATCATTTGCAAATGGGGTTAACTGCTGCTTTTACACATCTAACAACTGAACCAGACTTAATTGTAACTGTATTTCTCCATTAACATTACTGCTTTTCCTTCTTGCTTGCTAATGAAAAAAAAATCTTATTTCCATTAATTTCGTAACCTCCAGGGACCCTCATGTGAAGCTTACCCTTGCCAATACACACTGTTCTTTGTGAATACTCTTTGACCTCCTTATCAGCTATATCCTTTTGTACTGAGGTTTCCAGGTAGGTTAACAGCATTTCATTGACTGCACAGAAATGTGGTCGTGCACATAGGTGTAACCAAAGAAAAATAGGGTAAAACTTCTGATATGTGAATACATGGCCATGGTTTCCTCCCGCTCTCCACTCCTCTTTAAAACGAGTGCTTGGCAGTACACTCCATTCTCACCACAAAGGATGGGAAGATTGATTGATGGTGCTATTCTGTCGCTGCTACAGCTTAAGGACATAGAAAAGACTTCAAGCATGTGGTGCACAGCTGGAAAATAGCACATAAAGTTCCTGGCACACAAACCATTTTCAGGCCCAAAGCAAAGGCAGAAATCACCAACATGATGTACATTTTGGCAGTTGTTCCAATTTAACACGGGTTAAGCTGGGAGAGGCTAGAAACTCTAGACTGTTCCAAGAGCTACAGGCCCTTTCCCTGTGCTCCTCTGCACTTCTACCTCAGCTCCAAGAACATCCGCTCCTCTAGCAGAGGGGCTGGACTGGACAGAGGCTGTGCAAGGAGCTCCCTGGAGCTGGGACATTTTTCAAGTCACCCCACAGCCATCATCTTGCAGCCCCTGCTGCAGACCAGCAGCTCCCAAACCTCCCAAGTATTCCAGCTCCCACGCTGCACAGGGAGCAGCAGAGCCCTCCATACCTGCTAGCTATTACCAGCCAGGCAGCTCCTCGCTGACTCCATCACTATGGAAACAGAGCATTGCCATCCCTGCATTCTGGAAGCAGCCTCTCACAGCAGCTCCCCTCCCAGGGGAACAACCCCACACATTACCCTGCCCCAAGCCCAGCTTTACTCCCCTTCCCCTTCTTCTTCTGCCACCCTCATCCCAAACCAATCCAGAACCTCAGGAAAGAAACAGGCCAAGACAGTTTTTGTTGGTTTTTTTTTTCTCCTCTAATAGGAAAATATATTTCAACTGCTGTAATACAGTAGATTATAAACAGCTCCTCTGCATGACAGAACACAGTACAGGTTGCATATACGTGGGACTGCTGGTACCAGGGGCCAGCAGGTGACTGCTGCACAGTCCTCTCCTTGCACGCCTCTTCCCTGCCACTCCACTGCTGGATGAGGAGACAGCAATGGCTTCTTCACCCTGGAAGGGGGAGCTGGCCTGGCTGCAAGCACCAGAAAGGACAAGGGTGAGCTCAGCTGGCTCAGAGGCACAGCACAGAGCTGCTTCACAAACCCGACACTGCAGAGCGTGTGGGCCTGCTCCTGGGTCCCACTTACACTGGACTGCCAGCCTTCCAGCCCAACTACATTCAAAAAGGTGGGAACTCAAACAGCTCAGCTGTCCATTGGCAGGTGGACTGATTCATGTCAGTACCATTTTATATTTAAAAATACATTAGGATCTCCCCCCTCCCACCACAGCACGGACCACATGCCTTATTTGGGTGGCAGTCACAGGATAACGTACAGTTAACAGCTCAAATGCAAGACTGCTTCACTTTGGAAGGCAGAAAGCAAAACATCCCAACAGAAAGGACGTACAAGGCGTGAAGACTCTGCACAGATTCAGTTTTCCTGAGAACTAACCATTATCTGCATGATAATGGGACAGATTTTGGATAAATTTCACAATATTAACACTGATTTTTGTGATGTTGAGCAATGAGCTGCAGCTGTACTGGCTGCCATTCCAAAGCTGGACGCTTCCCACCTTAAAACTGAAGGAGTTACTATGGAAGCAAGCTTTATAATTCTTGTGTTGGGAAGAATCACAGAAGACAGTATATACCATTAGAAACTTGAAAAGGGCAGGAAATAAACTTTAACATTCACTTACTTGACCAGAACACCACACCACTAGCTCTGGTACTCGTGGTCTAAGCAAGCTCTTTTCAAGCAAACATACTATAACAGACTAATTAAACAAAGGACTCAGTATTCTCCCCTCCAGAAAAATGAATGTAAGCCTATATTCAAAGCAATTTAAAAAACCCTACGAAATTGAAAATAATTCCCTGACAGCACAGTTGTGAGATGCCTTGATCTACAAGGCTGAAAACCTTAACCTGTCATAAATCTTCAGACCAGTGCCAACAGCTGAGCACCCCATCCCAGTTGCCTTTTGCTTGCCAGATGCTTGAACCCCCAGGTTTCCAACACCAAGGATGCTGACCCAGAAAATGCTGATATTTTTCATTAGGGGTATGACACAATGCCAGCTGCAAGGGCAACACTACAACTTGGCACAAAGTGCCAGGATTTTATTTCTTTTCAGAACACTGAGATAGTAGCAAGACCTGACACAGGCATCAAGAAGAAAAAAAATGAGTTCCAAAACCATCACACCCTGTTTGAGTACAATCATATCTGTATATAAGTGTTTCAAGCACCAGCTCTAAAGTACTAAACTGAATTTCATCCTGTATTAAGCAAGTGATAGAGCTGTTTGGCCAAAGGGTTTACTTGCTTTTGTTCATGCTTTCTTTGCGTTTTAAAGAAGAAAGCTTGATTTGAGAGTGACTGTTCAGTTCCTCCAGCACTTCTATCCCTTTCTCTCAAAGCAGAAAGGGAAAGAAAGACTTAGGATTATTCAGACTGAACAAGATAAGAGCAATGTATTTCATTCTTGGGATTTTGTATACTAATACTGTCAAGTTTGGTTACATACACGAATTCCTTCCTCTGAAGCTAACTCAACTGTTTCAGACAAGTTCTGGTAGGAGATGTTTTTAGAAGAGAACACCACATGCAAGTCTGCAATTTGGCAAATTTGACCTGACAGCATCCCTTCTGAAGTATAGCATTTCCTCATATAGGCATTTCAAAAGTTGGAAGAGTAAGTATCACCTCGCTCTCATGAATTTACTTTTGACTCAGGTTAATAAAAAGAGAAGCCCAAAAGACATTTAAGTGGGAGACAGGTCCACAAGTCCATAACTGCTGGTATCTGATACCAAGGCTGTAGGTTAGTAAGGAAAAGCTGTTGCTGAGATGTGTCAATTAAGAACACTGAGTAATTAAGAGAATTCCCCATGACCAAAGCCAAGGTGACAACAGTTAAAGAAACTAGCAGGTTACCCTCCTTCTCCAATAATGGAAGCTATGATTTCAGGAAAACTGAACAGAAAAACACCCAAATCTGATCTAAATTCCTTTCTGTGCTTAACATCTGACAGAGCAAGGAAACTGAAGGGGCTCTGCCTAATTCAGACAGGATAGCTGCTGTTATAAATACATACTGAAAGATCAAATTCACTACGCTTCTTTTAGCAGTGTCTATGGGAAGATGTCCTACCTCTTCAGAAGAAGAGCAGCAATACCTAGATCTTAACCTGAAAAAAATCTCACTGATGAGGGCAGACACAGGCAGATGCAAAAGCAGCTCTGACTCCAGCTGCTGGGTCAACCCTAATTCCCTACTGACAGTGATAGAGACTGCTACAGTACCTGTTGGCAAAGGGCACCATGACATGCTGGTAAAGAACCCAACACAGCCATCTCAAATGAGAAAATACTATGTACCTGTAAAGTCAATCACATTTTCTTACAGTTCAGTCATAGTATTTCAAATCTTTCTCACTACAGAAAGCCTTACTATGTATACCTTAAAGCATCTGCCAAATTAAAAGAAAAAGCTCTTTTATGTAAATTGTGTTAAAAAAAATCTGATTATCTGTGAGCAACGGAAGAGCTACAAGAAATCTATTCCTCAAGTCACGAGGGCTTTCAGAAGACAAAAAAGCTGTAAAGTCAGCAATGAACGAATATAGAGAAAACCTAAGTTTTCCATTTAAAAGAGACAAACTTCACATACTATGCCCTGCTTCTGAAGATAGAAAGAGCTGATTCTCCAACACAGCCACACAAAAAATACCCTCTTCCTCTGCTCATTTGAAATCTCTAGGCAGCCATCGTACATAGAAGGCAGTTCAAAGCCATCCGGGAATGCTTTGGCTATTTTCACAGCAAGGAGGCAAATAACTTGTTGTTCTGTCACTTGTCCGTGGCATAGCAACGGACAAGATCACAAAGAATAGAAGTTCTGTAGACATCCCATTACCAAAAAGGAGAAAGAATTACAAAGGGGTGACCAAGGAAATGGACAGAAGCCAACCATGAGCTACTAGCAAATCTGACTGGACGACTGCCCAGAAGAGCAGCCACTTGGGGGACCCCTGGACGAGTAGGATTCCAGTAGACTCCACCTTCAGCATAATGTTTCACTGGCATGGAAATGGCTCAAAGGGTGGCAGCACATAACAGATGCTGCCTATGAAGCCTGGTGCAATCCAGCTCAACTGGGTTGCCTCAGTACTGTTTTTAAAAGTTACAGTTTCTCCCAAATAATCAGGAGGCAAAAATTCCCTTAGAAAAAGTCCGCAGTGAATTAGTCAATGGTCCAAATATGTGGAGGAAACTCTGTTCTTCTGTGATGGCATGGCCAGAGCATACAAGTTCTTACATCTGCACGTGACACGACCATGAGCGAGGCTTTAGGTAGTCCAGGAACGCAGGCTGCAAAACACAGAGGCACTATGTTAGTCACAGGCAAACAGCACCAGCTGCGGTGTGTTCTGCTGAAGTCAAACTTCCCCAGAAAGAAAGGTCAAACCACATTTCCACACCTCAGACTCTATTCTTATCTCCCCTGAAAAGCACAGGTTTAGCCGCAGACATGACAAGCTCCTTGCCCACCTCCCACTCTGCACAGTATTTAGCAGATGCATCAGAACTGTGGATATAACAGCATCTTGTCTCATGGAGCCTGTAATTTATGATAGTAAACACTTACATGAGACTCAAAATTGGTTTGTCTGAGCATACCTTTGATTAAAATTGAAATCAACTAGCAGAGCAATATATTTTATGTGGAAGACAACTCCGATACCATGAAAGTGTCAGAGTAAGTAAAGGTAAAACCAACTACAGAAACATCTGACAAGAGGCAAGCAATTCTTATTATCACCCATTCTAGCCTAGGAGGAACACAACAGGCTCAGTTTTTGCAGACCTCCTAGAAAAGTTTCCCGTGACCTCAGTAGCCAAGTGCTATAGTTACACTCACATGGCATGAGTGGTCTAGTTTACTTGCAAGTAGTAGCTTATGTTTTCTTCAGTGAGAAAAATGGCCTCAGTTTCAAGAAGTGAAATACTGTCAGCATACAAAATACTAATGAAAGTGCTGCCATGACAAAAAGCTTTGAGACTTCTATACAGTTTCTGAATAGCTCCTACTGAACTAATATAGCACACTGTTGGAAAGGCTTGTGTCATTTAACCCCTGCCCCATCCCCATGGCAAGAAAGAGCAAGCCACTGGCCTGGTCAGTTATCCCCTAGGGAGGGTCAGCCACTCACATTTTCTGCAGGGCAGTACTGGCGGGCGTACCACTCCTGGCTGTAGAGGCAGATGATGACACCTTGGCCCAGAAAGAGGGATGTCCACATGATCACGTTCCAGATGGGCCCCTTCCGGCGGTCATTAAGGATGAAGTTAAAGAGCACTGGAAATGAGAAGCATCATTCAGAAAACAACTGATTTTTGCTGGATATTCCCCCTTCCCACTGCTTCACCTCCAGAACAAGGCTGTTCCCCAAGGTAGTGCAGTGCACAAGTATCTGATTATGCCTGGCAGTACAGCAAATACTACCAATTGACCTTAACTTCCAAAAAAGTTCTCCAAGCTGATGCAGCTCTATACCTCTTTGCTTGGGTGTCAATACTGTTTGTGTTATGCAGATGACCAAGTCATGCTGGCAGAGATGACCTAGAGATTTAGAGCCCTCTCATTTACACCCCAAACCTTAACTTCTAAGGCTTGGCAAAAAGGAAGCAGTGCTACTGAATACATAGTGTCACGTGAACATCAGGGTATCATACATAGCTCTCTTCCTCCCCATTCACATCTTCACATCTCTAAGCCCTTCACTATGTTTGGACACACAACTGCAAACTCTTGGAAATGAGATGATTCTGTACAATAATGACGCCACAGCCCACTCACATACTCTACTGGGAACTTACTTCCAAAGCACATAAACAGGCAAAAGAGAACTGGGTAGAAGAAGCCGAAGCAGATGCTCAGAACATACTCGTGCACAGCAGCTGATACTGTGAAAACGGACAGCATAGCTGCAGCTTTGAACTTCTTGCCAAAAAACTGGAAGACAGAAGAATACAAAGTATTATTCATCTATTCTGCTGTGGTTTTAGTTTGGTCATTGCAAGTTGTTTTCTTTTGTTTCATTAAAAAACAAAACCACACAAAATCCTGTAGGCATAGTAAAAGATGCTGTAAAAACTATAGTGGCTGCCCAAAGCCAGCTTTGCTTCTCAGTATAACAGTAGTGATGTTGCATGTTGAAAAAAGCACCATCTTGCTCAAGATTTAATTAGAAATACAAGGAATATATGAGCTTGTTGCTCACCCAGAGGAAGTCCCTATAGGCATAGTAATAGAGCCAGTCGTGCACTACCACGTTCCAAGTTCGGTAATAGTTTGCATAGGATGTGGAATTCCACCAGTCCTGGAAGCAAAGTTGAAAGAATATAAAAAATCTAATTAAGCATCAAACATTCTACAGGTCTCTTCTGGAATATCAAGTTCAAACACATCAATCAGAACAATACGAAGCCAATATAACAATTCACACCACAAAATAAAACACACTGTTGTACTTTCAATGATTTTGAAATGCATAAGGATTTACTCTCATCTAAAACCACAGTGGCTGAGATGATAAAAGAACAATGTCCTGACTGAGCTCTTCAGTAGGCCTGGTGCATAGATCCATTCATGCACAGGGTTACTACTGCACAAACAATTCAGACTACCAAATAAAAATAAGAACTGTTCTAGAACACAACCACCAATTTAAGGCATAAGATAAGGAAAACCCCATGGATTTTTTTTTTTTTAGTAAAAAGCAAGAGGAAAACACCACCACCACCCCCTCTAGTTTCCGCTTTCCCTTCTGTTAGAAAAGGTAATACATTTTATAGAGCCTGCTTTATGAACTTCTGCTTCTTACCTTGTAGAACATCCTATCTGCAAAGCGCATCATCTCAGCAAACGCATTAAGCCAACAGTGAAGGAAGGCAAAGAAGACCAGGAAAAGAATCAGTACACCTAGAAGCAAAGCAGAGT